TCTTATTATTCATTTTTTTTAAATCTTTAAATTTCCTTATTCTTTTGTTGATGGTATAGCCTGATTTTGAATTCGAGTTTTAAATATAAGACGAGAATTCTTACATTAGAACTAAAATTTCAAGTGAAAAAATGGTAGTAATTATTGGTTCAACCGAAAATTTTAGAACGTAACTTCAAAGTCTTTACTTTTGAAATCGAAAGAAGAATTTCGCTATTTGAAATAAGATATTTCAATTGTAATATGCAAACTTCAAATATTTCTTTGATGGTGTTAATAAACATAGAACAGCAAGTGACGCTACAAAAATTTATAAAAATTTGATGTAATTCTTTTCAGATCTACATTTAACGTTAATTTCCAGAATTCGTAATTGGATATTAAATTCTAGAACCTCGATTAAAGAATTACACTTGAGTCTTAAGTGACAAATATTAATTTGACATTCATCATACATTTCAAAAATTAGAATACACATCTAATTGTAGTGATTCTTATCAAATCATAATTGTAAACAAAATTGCAAAAAGTTTCAAGGGTTTAAACAACCTACGCAAGAACAAATTTCAACAAGTCAGTAGTCAATAAAAAAAAGTTACAGATTAAGAGAAAATATAAAGGACTTCTATCGAAGTATCAACTTTTTAAATGAAATTTCAATTACAGAAAACATTACTGAGAACTTAGTAGAGAGTTAGATTAACATTACGTATTGGAAAGGGTTCAAAATTATGGGATAGGAATTTAGAATCAGGTCAGATATTCTAAAACAATGAGTTTTAATAAGAAAAAAATTTGAATTTGAATAAAAAAAAAGAAGCAATTCCAACAAAATTAGGGATATCATAGGTATCATTATTCAAAGGTTGGAATTCTATCTAAGTCCATTAGAGTTGTAATTTGAGCATGGTAGAAAATTTGAAAATCAAATTTAAGAAAAACTTTAAATTTTAATCGAAGTATTTAGAGAGAAAGGGTTATTGTAAGGGAATCAAACTTTTTAGATAATTAGAATTCTAAGTGTAATGGAATTTCAAGAACGTTCAGATTGTAGTAAGAATTTAGTATAATAATTATTGTAAAACAATCGGAATTCCAATAGAAATAGAATTCTAACTACACTGAAGTTTTAAAAATTACAAATAAAGGCAAAATATTCTTTCCAAATTTCCGACTGTCAAAATTGCCTTTTAATCTCAATATTTAAACCGCCAAAACATCCTTTTTTCAAGGTCTAAGCTGATACTGTTTCCTGGTTTATTCTCTTTTATTTGTTATTCTTTTGCGTTATTTGTAATCCTCTCCTCCCTCACACTTACACGCTCACGTACGTTCGCTTTGCTCTTCCTTTCGTTTTTTAATTATGTTTGTCTCTTTCCTTTTCCTTGTTTCATTTTCCTTCTTTTTATTCATTTTCAAGTGCCCCCCACTTCTTTCCTTTCTTATTTGTTGTTGGTAGTTCTTATTTTAACCACTGATCATCTTGTATTGTATCTTAGGTTTCGCTTAATAATATATTAGCTGTGTGTGTTTTGTTTTTTCTTTAATGTGATGGTGGATTTTGGACTGAACACAATTATTTATCGATGGCAGTGTTGGTTTTGATGGCGATCACGACTTCTTCACCACAGGCTTTCAGTACAGTGCACTGGAAAAAAATGTATTTTTGCTTTTTTTTCTATTTTTTTTTCAAAATTTGCAATGTAAAATTTAATTTATATAGTTTTTACTGCAATCCTATACATAAAACATAAGTACATAATGAAGATATTAATATTTACATATAAATCAATAAAAAGGCTTCTTTACCAAACACAAATAAAACAGCCTAATTACTTTGCAAACATATTACAAATTGCCAGTTAAGGTTAGTATCAAAAGAATTTTTATAAAATTCTAAGAGTACTTACAAGAAGCTCCTTCCCAGCCTCATGATCAGCACGTAACTGAGCACCTAGTTCACCATCAGGAATTTTCAAATCCTCACGAAGTTCTCCGTTATCAGCCATCAGACATAAGTAGCCATCATCGGATATATCTGCTAGCTGTAATATAAGTATACAAACTTTGGTTTTACTCTTTACTTTTATATATAATAATATTTCTTAACCTCTTAATAAACTAAGTAGAATGGTAAATACACTACAAATTCAGTACATCATTGTTGTCAAAGTTGTCTAAAACTATATTTACTTATTTTAAATGACATTGTAAAAATTTGATTCATGATTCTAAACTACATAAAAACAATTTATATAATGCTATTTATAAGTATTATTAATATAAAAATACCTGGTAGTCTTCTCGTTTAACGAACGGCACGTCCATATTGTGCGTTGAAGGGCATATATCCTCATATTTCTTTGAAGTAAAAATGTCAATGCCTACAAGATGCACTTTAGCATGACCATGCTTTCCTGTCTTAGAAGTTGACATTTCTACGATTTTGCATGGCCGGGATTTGAGCATTACGAACCCATTTTTACGCAGTGCTGAACACTGCATTGGGTATGTTACAGAAGCACCGGAGTCTCCAGTTTCGAAGTGAGTATCCTCTATGTCTGCCATCCTTAGTTTCTTTATTAATCTGTAATTATTGACTAAAGTAAATTGTCTGGTATATGCAAGTAATTTTATATAAAATGAAACGAATGTATAATTAATGAGGTATGAAGTCTAGAAATAATCATTACAAACAAAATTTAAAAAGTTTAATGTACATTTGTATTTAAAAAATAGAAAACTCCCTCGGTAAATCATTTCAATCAATAAATAAATTAATCTTGTTTTTTAATTTCAAAAATTAGCATGTACATATTTCTTCTAACACAAATAATGAAAATAGTAGTATTGATAAAACTATATTCATTAAGTTTGAGAACATTTTCTTGAAAAATCTTCTAAATATAAGAACTTCTTTGCAACTATAGCATAAAATGTAAGGTATCATTAATAATAATATAATTAGCGAAAAATATAAACAAATTTATGAAGATAAATGAAAGTATAATTTCAGATATAAGCGATCCATGGTAAGAAAAAGCCTATAAAATAAAATTTGTAAAAATATAATATAAAAATAACTTTACTTATTTTTCTAAAATATTGAAATCATGCAAAAACACATAAGAAAATGAAATATAAGCGAAAAATATCGAATTTTAAATGCACTTTACTATGTTTTGAACTGTAGTAGTAAGGTTTTTCACTTATTTATGATCAAAATTGCATTTGAAAATTGCATTTCATCTTTAACAAACAATGTAGATACAGCTTCTCATCAAGAGTGAAAAATATCAGTAATCAATTATAGGTAAGTTGTTTGGGTTTGTAAGAAAAATACCATGCCTTTCCCAGGTATGGAATGGAAACTATATAGAATACTAAAAAGTTCAAATATTCTTGAAGTATTATAAAACCAAAAAAATAAATAGAGGGAATGAAACATCGTAACAATCAACTGACCAAAGAAAAATTTTCTAAACGAATAATTAATACGTAGATAACTTTAAAAAGCTTTTGAATAATGAACGTAAAGTGTATGAACACGTTGTGAAAGTACGAGCTAACCAAAGTTTCAACCCAACTGACAGTTCCCTAATTATCAAAGCTTTTCTATGAAAAATCAACCGGAGATCCTCGTGAAAGTCGAATTACCTTCGAGGACGAGTTTACTGCGGTTTTTTCACCGTTTTCCTCGAGAAGATGGCGCGAAAAGGATTGCGTGCGGTTCGTCGTCGAAGTTGCCGACTCTCGAAGAAGGTTCGAGGTATCACGGATATCAACTGGTTTCTAATAATGTAGCTCTCTATTTTCTGGAGCTTTCAGCACACGTTTTATAAACTTACTCAAGCGATCACAAGTCATTCAACTAGACTCACCGTGAAAAAAGGAGAACAGACTGGAGATACTCACATGTGATCAAAATGGACACTCTAACCAGAAGAGTTGGTTGCGCTTGCGCGAACCGCTAATCGGCGACAGGGGGCCACTCGAATAGATCCACGGATTCCGGCTGAAAGTCTACGTGGGGTAGAGTTGAACCTGACATTTTATTATCAGTTCATGCCAGTTGTAAATTCGATGGAATACGCAGGCGCTGTTTTGCATAGTGAAATTTGGTTAAATTAATCCAAGATGCATGCAGAATTATTAAATTTTTAATTATAAATTTAACAAAATAAAATCTATTTGTATCTTACTGAATTATTATATAAAGATTATAAATATTAATGAATATAATTAATTTCATTAAAACTTATAAATATCTTTATCTCCATGTAATGAAAGTAAACCAGTCATGCAACATTACTTTTTTATTTATAAGTCGTGACATATTTACTATGTACTTATGTTTGAAATATGTATTAAATCATTTTTAAGTATCTCTTATACATTAAGTACATTGTAATCAACCAATTTTAAAATGTAGGAATGAACTACAATATGTACTTCAATATGTACATAAATAAAAAATTTTAATTAAAATTTGATTTTTAGAAAGCTTTTACTAATAAATATTTATCTTTTTGAATTACATGAACACATTTTTTTAGGTATAAATGTTTAAATATTTAATTTGAATTAAATACAAATACAATTTAATAACAATATCAATTTATTAAAAATTGTTACAATAACAAATATGTAGGGAGAGTAGTTGGAATGACAAATTAAACAGAGTGAATCCCTTTTATTAAAGCTTCAACAGATTTAATTGGTATATCTGGTAAAATCCCATGTCCTAAATTTGCAATATAACGATTTTTGCCAAATTTTATTGCCATATCTCGTCCACGACTTGTTATTTCCTCCTAAAGAAAGAGAATTATTGATTTATTAATTATTAAAGAAACAGATGTCTATAATATAGAAGATACCTCAGAAGCATATAATGCACATGGATCCAAATTTCCTTGCAAAGTAACATCAGGACCCAATCTCTTTCTTGCTTCTATTGGATCAATAGTCCAATCTAAACCCAATACTTCATATGTTTTTGATTTTGCCAGCATTTCCAAAGAATTCATTGTTGCTCCTTTAGGAAAGGCTATCTAAAATTTAATATTTCTAATTTTAATTGATGTCTAACTTTATTTTATATACTTCAAAAGTATACTAACGATTATTATATTTTATTAACAATTACCATTGGTACTTCAGGAATACCTCCCTCCTTGAGTTGCTTTCTGACCTTTTCACTAATCTCTTTCAAATATTTAAATGAATAACTAGCAAATAATTCGTCATTAAAAAAGTCAGCATGACTTTCAAACACTTGTAGTAACTACAAAAAGAAAAGGTTTTTAATTTGTTTCGACTTACAATTAAATATCTAAAAAATTGTATATAATATTATAAACACAGAATCATACACACTTGTGCTCCAGCTTTTACTTGCATTACAAGATAGTCCACAATTACATTTGTGATCATTTGCAAAAGTTTATGAGAATCTTTCGGATGTTTATACAACCAAGATCTTGCTTTAGTCATTGTTGAACTACCGCCACCTTGTATCATGTAACTCATTAAGGTCCACTAATAATTTACAAATATACATTGTACATTAATATAAAGTATATATATAAATCAATATAAAAAAGTTTCTCCTTACCGGTGCACCAGTAAAACCAATTAATGGAACTTTTCCTTCTAATTTATGACGTGTCAATGTTATAGCATCCCCTACATATTTTAAATCTTTACATACATCTGGTTGTACTAATTTGCTTAAATCTGATGGATCATTCAATGGCTGTGGTAAAACTGGTCCCTACAATAAGAATTTATTACAAATATTTTATAATCTCTATGATGTTACTTTATAAATTATTTAAATGACATACTTTTTACTCTGAATTATATAAATTAAAAATTTTGAAACACAAACCGTTCCAGGTTTCATCTCAACTGTTAAACCCATTGCTTGAGGAATTACTAGAATATCAGAAAAGATAATACTGGCATCCAAGTCAAATCGTCTCAAAGGTTGTAATGTAACTTCAGAAGCTAAAGCTGGTGTTTGACAAACAGAAAAGAAGTCATGCTTTGATCTCACTTCTTGAAATTCTGGTAGATATCTGCCAGCTTGGCGCATTATCCAAATTGGTATACGTGTTACTGGTTCTCCATACGCAGCTTTCAAAATTAAGTCATTTTTTAATGCAGGAAAAGCTGTCTGCGCCATTATTATTGTACAAATTTATTAAAGACAATATAAACCTGTAAAATAAAATGCTATTTATTTTAATAGTTCCTTAATGATAATGAAAAAATAAGAGGATGAATTAAAGATTGCAATAACGTAAGTATATCTTTTATATATTTTTTATTCAGACAATACTTTCTTCTTACTTTATTGAAGTGTATTGACAAATAAGATAAATGTGCCGACATGAATTGCATTTTTTTACTTACATACACATTACATTTTAACCAATGATGTTACTCAAAGCAGTCATGTTTTCGAGATATATTCTGCTCTTCTATGTTTACGTTTTTGACTAACTTGACCAATCAAATATGTACTTGTAAATTTCAGAATAATGAGTTGCAATTTGAAATTTGTTTAAAAAACATTTATATTCAAATGGTAATATTATATTTAAGATTTGATTTTTCAGTTATATCTGAAAAGGAAATAAATCAGGTAATGTTTTATATTGAACAATCCTTTTGAAACTTCTATTACAATCTATTTACTTTTTAGTTCGTGGTTTAAAGCAATTGTACGTTCGCGGAAAAATTTTGAAAGGAATAACCCTGGCACGCTGTCGTGACTGTCGCGTGGACTTCTGTTTTAAGTTGTTCTGAGCAGTACCAAACACTCTTTGTTGTAAAAATAGTAGAAATAAAGGTTATGCATTTAAGTATTAAGTAATAAACTAAAATAATAAGCAGGTTGTAGATACACAAATTCAAAAATGGATTTCTTGGAATATCCAGAAGTAATTGCAGAAGTGAAAGGAGCAATGGTAAACTGCATATTATTTAAAATTTGTAGTTATTAATAAATGTTATTTTCTTCAGTAACACTTTTCTCTTTGTAAATTTCATAAATTTCATGTTGTTTTTATTATTTATATAATTCAATTTTATAAGTATTTGGGGTTAGAATGTATAACAAAAATTGTACGTTTGATATTTTTTACATTTATTTCTATTTTTCTTATACTATTATCTTTGTAATTACGTTTTATTGCTATTGTTAAATATAAATAATAATTGCGTATATAGTTATTATTTATATATTATATTTGGTTAATGTTACAAGTGTAATTATATATACATTGGTTGATTTGTTTACTAATTTATTCGTATAGACTCCAGGACGACTAAAATTAACAGATCAGCACATAATTTTCAAAAATCAGAAAACAGGCAAAGTGGAGCAAATTTCAGCGTCAGACATGGAAATGGTAAATTATCAGAAATTCATTGGCACTTGGGGTTTGCGTATATTTCTAAAGAATGGAACTTTACATAGATTTCGTGGTTTTAAGGATGCGGTAAGTAAAAATCTTTAAAATAAACAACAAATGGTTTAAACTACTTTGCTTTTCTTTGGCTTTTTGTATTTATATATATAAATGTAAAAGTTGAATAATAACATATTAAAAGTACTAGAAAGAAAAATTTTCAAGTTATTAGTATACACATAGGTAGATACTTTACTAGTAGTATACAATTTATTATGCCAACAAAATGTATAATTATAGTTAAATTATAACTAATAATTTTTATATAGGATCAAGAAAAAATTGCTAAGTTCTTTCTACAAAATTATAAGAAAGATATGTTAGAAAAAGAACTCAGTTTGAAAGGTTGGAATTGGGGTACAGCCAGGTTTAATGGTTCTGTTTTGAGTTTTGATGTTGGTCATCACACTGCATTTGAAATTCCATTGTATGATGTGTCTCAATGTAATACTGGGAAAAATGAAGTTACATTAGAATTTCATCAGGTAACTTGAAAGAAATTATATCTTATACTACAGATAAAAATTATTATTATATGTTACACATACTTTATAAACGTGTGATCTTTATATATCAATAACTTTTCAGAATGACGATGCACCTGTAAGTTTAATGGAAATGAGATTTCATATTCCAGTTAGTGATAGCGTAGATCAGGATCCTGTAGAAGCATTCCATCAACAAGTTATGGACAAAGCTTCTGTTATTAGTGTCAGTGGAGATGCCATTGCTATATTTAGAGAAATTCAGTGTCTTACACCTCGGTAAACATTTACAGTCAATCTATATATTTATTTAAAATTTACATATTGAGTCCTCTATATGCTCAATGAAACTTTTTTCATTTCAGTGGTCGCTATGACATAAAAATATTTCAGTCATTCTTCCAATTGCATGGTAAAACTTTTGATTACAAAATTCCAATGTCAACAGTTTTAAGGCTTTTCCTTTTACCACATAAAGATAGTAGGCAAATGTATTTTGTGGTGAGTGATTTTTGAACATAATATATTTTCCTGTTTTTTTTGTTTTCAATTTTCTAATTATCAACTCTTTTATTGTCATTTATATCGTCTCAGGTCAGCTTGGATCCACCAATTAAGCAGGGTCAAACTCGTTATCATTATTTGGTATTATTGTTTAATCAAGAAGAAGAAACATCTATCGAATTGCCTTTCTCTGAGTATGTAAAACAAAGCTTCATTACTACTTAGAAACTGAATTTAAAATTTATATGAAAGATTTTAGTATCTTGTTCTATTTGCAGGAAAGAATTGAAAGACAAGTATGAAGACAAATTAACAAAAGAGTTATCAGGACCAACGTATGAAGTATTAGGAAAAGTAATGAAAGTTATAATTAACAGAAAAATTACTGGTCCTGGTAATTTCTCGAGGTAAACATATCTATATACATATCAGGACACATGTAATATGTATTGAAATAGTAATACTTCAATTTTTTTTTATTTTTCTTTATTTGCAGTCATTCTGGAGCTCTTGCGATTAGTTGCTCCTTCAAAGCAGCCGCAGGTTACCTCTATCCTTTGGAAAGAGGATTCATTTATGTTCATAAACCACCGATTCATATTCGCTTTGAAGAAATAGCGTCTGTAAATTTTGCTCGTGGTGGAGGCTCTACCAGATCTTTCGATTTTGAAATTGAATTAACTAGCGGTGTTATTCACACATTTAGTAGCATTGAGAAAGAGGAATATGGGAAATTGTTTGATTTTATTACTTCAAAGAAATTACGCGTTAAAAATAGAGGCAAGAGCGTAAGTAAAATACTAAGTTTAGTATTTAAGTACTTAAGTACTAAGTTTAATACTTAAGTACTAAGTTGAAGAGTAACAAAGAATAATAAAAATATTGTTTTTGTAATAGGACAAATTGAGTTACGATAATGACTTTGGTGATAGCGATCAAGAAGATGAACCAGATGCATATTTGGCAAGAGTTAAAGCTGAGGCGCAAGAAAGAGATGCGGAAGATAATCAAGATTCTGAAGACGAATCCACTGATGAAGATTTCAATCCTAATCAAGTGCGATTTTAATAGAATACAATTTATTTTAAATGATTTGTTTTTTAGGGTTCAAACTTTTGAGGAAAATTACTTTATTTACACATGTAACGCGCATATCTTCTTTTTTAGGATGAGAGTGATGTAGCAGAAGAGTACGATAGTAATCCTAATACATCTGAAAGCGAAAATGATTCTGATGCATCTGGAAAAAGTCAAAAGAAAGAGAAAAAGGAGAAGAAAGAGAAGAAAGAAAAGAAACCAAAATCAGCTAAAACAGTGGTACCTATTAAATATTAAATGGTAAATGTTAAATTAATTCGACAATATAAAATTTGTATTTTGTAGTCAGAGAAACCGAGAAAACCTAGGAAGCAGAAAGCAGAAAAAGATGCGAACAAACCTAAACGACCCCCGACGGCGTTCATGATCTGGTTAAACAGTGCTCGAGAAAAGATCAAAGCAGATAATCCGGGCATTGCGGTTACAGAAATTGCCAAAAAAGGAGGGGAAATGTGGAGAGAACTTAAAGACAAATCTGTAAGAATATATGATTTCATTTGGTCTTTATCTGTTGTTATTATATGGAATAATAATCAGCCTATCGCATTAAGTAATGTCTAAGTAGATGTTATAAACTTTTACTATCCTTTACCTTTTCTATTCTAAATAAATTATTTAGGAATGGGAGGAGAAAGCAGCAAAGGCAAAGAAGGAATACACAGCTTCAATGAAAGAGTATGAAGCTAATGTTAAAGGAGATGGTCAAGCAGGTGGTCAAGCAGGTGGTCAAGCAGGTGGTCAAGGGAAAGAAAAGAAAGAAAAAGTAGAAAGAAAAAAGAAAGAAGTGAAGAAGGAATCTCCTACTAAACAAGTGTCAGGAAATTCTTTCAAGAGCAAAGAATATATTAGCGATGTTGATAGTAGCAGCGATGAAGATACGAAGGTATGTTCATATACAGGGCGTCCCCGAATAAGTAGGAAATATTTTGGGGGTAGCTTCAGCATATCAAAATAATAAAAAAAATTCAGATAAATGTATGCCCTTTTTTAATAAAGGTAAAGGAAGAAAAGAAACGTTCAGATGAAGATAGTGACGAAAACAAGGGAAAGAAAAGAGGAGAAAAACGTAGTGCGGTAATAATTTTATTATCTAATTATTTCATGCAATCTATTGATAATTTTAATATAAACTTATTTGTTTATAGGATGATGATGATAAGAAACCAAAGAAGGAAAAAAAAGATGAATCCGATGAAGGTAGCGATGAAGAATCTATCGAATATACTCCGCAATCTAGCGATGCGGAATCTAAGGAAAGCGATTAGTTGATAAGAATCATTGTACATAAGAATGTACTGTTAGTATTTCAGGAAATATTAAAATATGTCTGAAACTTAATGGTTTTTGAACTATAAAATTATGTTATATTTGTATTTGCCTTACTGCAATTTATTTAATTTTTAAAAATATTTGTATTTTTAAGAAATAAATCATTAATAATTAATAATTCGAGTAAATTATAATCAATCTGCATTCTTCATTAGGAAATCAGAAATTAGTAATCATTAATAGGTATTAATTTTAGGTATTATTAGAATATTGTATAATAAAATTTTGATGTATTTATAAATAAATGTACATAAATATTTTATTATTAGTTTTGAAAATATACCAAAATAGATTTTAAAAGTTCAATTAGCAACAAAAACTATTTAATCTATGTGAGAGGAAGTTGCACTAGCAAGTAAAAGTTTGACAGTTGTAGTTTGGGTTAAGATTTTCTTTTCGATAATGAACATAACCTAAAAGAAAAATCCAAATATGAATAGATAAATTTTTTAATTTAGGTAATTTGATTTCATTTTTCAAATGAATTTATTTTTAGCTTAATTCACAGTTTGTTGCTACGAGTCCTTTTATTTAAATTTAATATATTCCACAAAATGGATATTAGACGAACTATAGGATTTTATGATTTATGTGTAAATAAATCAGCGAATGGGACACAAAGTTTATATTCTTTTTTGTCAAAATTACATGAATTTGGATTTAAAACGATCGCATTGAACACTAATTTGGATGAAAGTACCGTTGTACCAGATAAGAAAAAGAAAAAGAAAATTGATGAAGGAGAAGCACCTCAGAGTATCATTCCAAATGCATTTGATATAGAAAGCATAAGAAAAGACTTTAATGGGAAATTAACAATTTTTAACCGAATTACATTTTTTTGTTCTGATCCAGCGAAAACACATATATTAAATCATTGTGCAGATTTAAAAAAGTATGATTTGTATGCTTTTGCTCCGAAAACACAAAATGCATTACAATTTGCATGTACTCAATTAAATTGTGATATAATTACTTTGAAAGCATCTTCTACGACATTCAAACTTAACAGAAAACTATATAAACAAGCCACTGAAAGGGGAGTACATTTTGAAATTCAATATGTAGATCTGATAAACGTAGAATCTAGAAAACTTACCATACACTATTCACACCTGTTTTATACATATGGAAAGAGTAAGGTATGTTGATATTAATATTTACCAAGCAATTTCTTTTTCAAAATAATAAAGAATATTGTTATTAATACAAGTATTATTAAATATGTAGTATAATTTTATAGATTATATACTTCTATAAGTTTTTTAACAAATAAAAGAATTTTAATTTAATACAATTTTTTGCAGAATGTTATATTATCAAGTGGTGCCAATGATGTCACAGTAATTAGAAACCCCTATGATTTAATTAATTTATCACGTATCCTTGGGTTGAATGAAGTGAAAGCCAAAGCATCAATATCAAATCAATGTAAAAAAATCCTTTTAAAAGCAGGTATATATTTATATATACATCTATAATTAAATTATACATTTCAAAGAAACAATAATTTTTATTCTAACATACATTTTTGTATAGTTATTTAATATTATTTTTATTATTATTTTGGGTCATTTTTTTAGAAAGAAGACGCAGGGGGAAAGCAGCATTCATAATTGAAGAAGATAAGAAAACAGATATTACAGAAAATAATGAGGGATTTTCAAAAAAATTGAAATTGTAAACATTGTTTATAAAAAAATAAACAGAAAGCATCATATATATTTTCAATGTATTCATGAATTTATTGGAATAATTTAAAAAAATGTTCAATAATTATTTAATATTTCATAATAAATAAATTATGTTAAATAATTCTGCTGAAAATCATGAAACTATATTCTAAAGATATTGAGGGAACATTTTATAAGTAGATATAATTAAATGCAGTTTTTATTTAGAATATTTAAGGCAAAAATTGTTTCCAGTTTTAACTTTTTAGAAGAGAGTTTACTTATTTACTACTTTTTTAAAGAAATATTGTTAAGTTAAAATTACATTTCCATTAAAATGTAGTTTTTAAAGAACAGTTGTTTTCAAGAAAACATTTCGCACATTTACAAATTATAGACATTACATATCTTATGTACAATTGTATACTACAAACCGTTGTTAATTAAAAATTCTGTATTATATAGTATTCCATGCACCATATTTTTTAAACTGTTAATAACTTTCCAGAACACCACGGACAAGGATGGAAATTCGGCTGAAACAAGCATGAGTCCTTGCAATCTTTTATTTCTGTTAAAATATCCAGTAACTCGGAAACACTTTTGTTTTCTATTTTGGATTCCTTCTTTTCTTTTGTTTTCGCGGAAATGTCATTACCATCCACTTCTAAAAATATAAAATTCATTGTGTACGATTTCTACTCTGTTATTATAGTATTTATTTTTGCAGCATGAAAAATAATTTTTTATAATTTACTCTTATAACATGCAAAAGCACTATTACAGTATTATATTTATATCATAGTTATAAAAAGTGTACCTGATTGTATTATATGCTCTGCCCCATTAGAATGAATATATTCTTTTCTAAGGAAATCACTAACCAAAACTTTTAGTTTATGAAGTTGTTCTTGTTGTTGATTTCGTTGTTCAAGCAACTCTCGGAATATTTGATCTCTTTCTCGTGCCCTATTTTGAAGAACTGCTCTTTGCTTTTGATACAAAGTTATATATTCTCCTAAAGGAATAATTTTCAAATTTTATATATTGAATATTTATAATATGTGAATTTTAATATGGATGGAATTAGTATTAGTATTAGTATTAGTAATGTTTTCTTAAAAAATGTTAAAATGTTCTTAAAAAAATTTCTTAAAAAATTTCAGTATTAGCAATGTTTTCTTAAAAAATGTATACCTATTGTTTCTGTTTCACTTTGTAATTGTAACACAAGGTGTTCAAGCTTTTGCTTTTCTTCGGTTAGTTCTGCTACTCGTTCCATTGTTTGTTTGAATCTCTGTTCCAATTGTTTTATAGGCTCTGGTACTAATGTATTATATCCTTCTAATTCTTCTGGATTTGTATCTTGTATCGTACTAGATTCATTGTTAGCATCTATAGCAGTTGAATCTATTTCAGATAAAATACTGGTTTGGTCTTTCTCTTTTAGTACTTCTATAAGATCTTGCTTCTCTTTCTCTAATTTTTCTATAGTGATCTAAAAAAAATAATAATAAAAGTTTGAAATTGATATTTCATGCTCGCGCATGTAATAATTAAATAAATATATAAGTAATTATTTACCAAAGCATGTTGAAGTTCTCGTTGGAAAGTATCAACATGATGAGACTGCGCTTGGTAATGTTGCATCTGATCTGCTATTTGAGCGTTCTGCAGTCTTTCTTTTTCAAGGTCTTCAAGTATTGCCTCTTTTTCTTTTAGTTTTCCTTTGAATTGTTCTAATTCAGTTTCTATATTATTTAACTGGGCATTTAATTTACGTCCAATTGAACGCTCTGCTTGAAGCTGTTCCGTTAAGTCTAATTTTGCATTGCTCTTAAACATCAATTTAAAGTTTTCCATAAGTCCTTTCTTTGTTAAATAAAATGAAAATTTAATTAATATTTTAGTTATAGAAATAGACTTACTAGGGAAACAAAAGCATTTTCCATATCAGTCAATTGTTCTTTTAATTGCCGATTCTGATGAAGTGCTCTGGATGCTCCTAACTGTTCACTTTCAAGAGCATTTGCTAACTTTGCCACTTCAGCCTCGTTATTACTGATTTCACGTAGATCGTTTATATCTTTCGTTAACATTTCAATTTGCGAATCCTGAGTACAAAAAACTTTAATTAATACCCGTAAACTCAAATTTATTACAATGTTTATAAATATATTTAACCTTTTCAGAGAGTATAATATGAAATCTTTCTTGTTCTAATGTAAGTTCGTCTATGTTTCTCAGTAAATTATCTACTTCATCTTGACGAGTTTGTAAAGGCAACAGATTTTCTAATTTTTCTTTTTCTTGTTGTAATTGTTGCTCAAGTTCTGACAACCTTTGTACATAACTTTGTTCTCTCGATTGTAAATTTTCTATAATCAGATTCTGTTTTTGAATCTATAAAAAATATAATAAGCATTTTAACAGTACAAATTTTTTATTTTATAATAATTTTGTAACATAAAATTTTATCGTGAAATATACCTCATCTACTAATTTAGCTTGTTGCATATCTAACTGTTTAACATAATTTTGATATTGTTTATTAGCTTCATCTTTTTCAGTATTAACAACTTTCAAAGATTCTTTAGTTTGTGCCAATTCCTGTTCTAAAACAGTCACTGCATGTTTTTCTTCTTCTGTAGGTGTAGTACCTTTCATCTATAAAAAAGAACAAAATTAACCGTTTTAATCCATTTCTTCCATTAATAATATAATAAGTTCATAATATTGAATAGTATTGTTTATTATTATTATTATTACCTGCTGTATTCTAAGTTCACTCAATGAAAGTAATGCTGTTTTTTCATTAAGTTCTTGCTGCACAGCAATTAATTCGGTTTTCTTCAGATTCAATTTTTGTTTCATTTCAGATACCTCTAAATTTAAATCTTCTTTTTCTTTTTTCAATTCCAAAAACCTTTTTTCTAGAGATTCATATTCAGTTTGCAACAACTGACAATTTTTTCTTAATTCATCATTACCAGTTTTTAAAACAGATGTTTCTTTTTCTAATTCAATTATACGTACTTGAGAATTTTTTAATTTTCCCATTAGTTCTTCTATCTCTTCTAAAAAATGTGTTATCTTTATCTATTTTTAAACATAACATTAACATTTTTATAGATTTAGTAAATGTAAAAACAAACCTTTACTTTGTCTATTACTTTGTTGAGCTTGACTAAGAGCTGCAGTGAGTTCTGCTTTTTCTGCTATTAAGATTCCAGTAGTTTGAGTATGAATTTGTAGTTGCTCTTTCAAGGGATTCACTTCGCGTACTAATTTCCCTTGGAATTCTAATTCTTTTGCTTCTAATTTAGATTCTAATTCCTCGACTCTACTATGCTAATTGGGTAAAGGTTTAATTAAAATCATGATTTAATACAAAAATTAATAAATAAGCAATACAACGATATAAATATATTTACAGATTTACTAAGTTCTATGTGTAGCTCATTAACAATTTTCTTCTGCTCTTCCAAATAGGAACTCAAAAATTGATTACGACACATCAGATCACAATCTAGAGTTGTTTCAGTATGTTCTGAATCATTTGTTAAAACATCTGCAACTGCAGATGCCATTTCCAAAAGATGTTCTTTTTGTACTTTTGGAAAATCATTTAACTCTATTTCATTTTCAATGTTTGACTTTAATTTAACCTGTATTGTATCTTGTACAGGTTTAGTAGTTTCTTCCACCGAACTGTGTGAATCCTCATGGTTTATAATATTTTGTGTATGTATTATATTATCTGCAGATATTGTTTCATTCTTTTGAAAATTTTGATCAGAAATAGATATATTATTTGCAGTATCTTCCAATGTAGATATTGTATTATTAGTTTCAAGATCTGATTTATTAATTTCTGTGCTCTGATGGTATAAATTAATTAAAAAGATTAATTTAATATTTAATGTCTATATTGTAAGTATTATTGGTAAAGATGAGAAATCTTGTGAGATACCTGTGAAGATGGGATATCCACAGAATGATGTTTTTGTTTTATAGAACCATCCTGTGCCATTTTATGTAGTTGAAATTCTCTGAGCTAAAAAAAGGCAAAAGTTCTTACACAAGTTCTGCGATTATGAAGTTGTTCTAACTGACAGACGATTGAAGTAAATATTTGACAGTTAGAATAACCTACAGGTTCACATGTCTTAAAATAGATTAAACGGCGAATAAATATATATTTTCCTTGTGCAATGAATGCATGGGGAACAATTATCACATGATATGATGAAAAATTGGAATTCTTCATAACGTATAACCGGTATGTAATTATTTACGTAGCTGTCAGTGTTTCAAAAAAGCAATACCTTTTTCTTGGCAGCCAGTAACTTTTCTGTTTTACTTAAATTCATTTTGAAGTATTACACAAAAATTAACAACTGAACCTCTTGATTGCGTTTTAGCACAAGTATTTACATCATCGTTATTAAAAATATTGTATTCAAAATCGAGGTTATCTCATGCCTAATCAGTTTTTCCTCTCCATTGATAAAACTGTTTACTGAGATTGATGATAGAATGGTGAAGTGAATAAATAAAAGTGATGTTCACACTACGCCATCTACCAGAAAATTCAATATTATTAAAAATATATGATTTGTCTTCGTCTTGTTTATTTCTTTCTTTCTCGTTGTTGGTGTCCTGTTATTTATGAATTTTTGAAAACACAATCTAATAAAAATAAAACTTTCGCCAAAATGTTCAATATTCATTTTCAAATTTGGTAGCCTTGAAGCATGATTCCGGATAAAAAGGATGGAGAGTTTTCATGTAGTGAAACGACAACTTCTGTATGCTTGAGTTTTCGATGCAATTCGAAGTTGTTCAATTATGTTAAGAGTGTATAAATCGATACCTGCGGGCATTCTGGAGACACTTCGCTCATGAAAAGTTACCCTCTCTATACTACTTTTATCTGTTGTGTTAAACACTACATTAAACTGCTCAATTTCGAGCAGCTCTTTGAATAAAATTAGTAGGGGAGGAATGATGTTTCTGATTTACTAGCATGAGGAAAGTTAGACATCTCTGAATCAAGCAACGGAATACTCTAATACTTAGGAACATTTTAATTTGTCCTGTTGACTGGTTAGTTAGTAATGCGTGACTGTGAATTGGTTTGATGAAAACGTAAAATTGTAGTTATTGGAAGAAGTTGTGGTTGCTAAAAATTTTGATACAAAGGTAAATTTTAATTACTGTACTTTATAGTATTTATTAAGTAACATTTGAAATTACTTGAATCAAGGATGCACGAAATTCTTTAAAATGAAAGAGAAAAATTTCGAATTACAAAATTCGAGTATGAATTAGTTAAGATATTTTTGTTGTACATTACTCATCGTAAAGTTATATTACAAAATTTTTTTTTATATATTTTTCTTCGTCAAAAGTATTGCAACGTACATATATAGATATATTTCTTTAGATCAGTCAAAATGGGAGTGCCTCCAGCTAGAAATCCTGAAGCCATGGATGTAGATATAATTTCTCCAGAAAGTCAAAATGGTGATGGTGATGTCTGTGACAAAAAGGATATTGATCTACAAACGATTCATGATGTCCGTGAACATGCTCGTCAGATAGAAAAAGCTGTGCAAAGCAAAGAACCTCGTTTCATTTTAAGAGTATTGCGTACATTACCAACCACGCGTCGTAGGTTAAACTTTAATGTTTTACGTGGAATAATTGTAAGTTTCTATACAAAACCATGTTCAGAACGCGAGGCATTGTTGTCACGATTAGAAGATTCCATCGAAGTAGAAGAAACTCAAAAACTTCGTCCATCTACGTCAAGTCCATTACCAGAAATTGATGCTTATATTCGTTTATTAGTTCTCATGCGCTTAATTGATACTGGAAAGTATGAGCAAGCAGTTTTATGCGCGGAAGCATTGTTACAAAAAATTATTGCACAGAATCGGCGTACAATTGATTTAATTGCTGCAAAATGTTATTTCTATTATTCAAGAGCATACGAATTAGTTGGAAGATTGGATAAAATTAGAGGATTGTTGCATTTAAGATTAAGAACTGCTACATTGAGAAATGACTTTGAGGGTCAAGCAGTATTGATTAATTGCTTATTAAGGAACTACTTACATTACAATTTGTATGATCAAGCAGATAAACTTGTACTGAAATCAACGTTCCCAGAGTCTGCTAGTAACAACGAATGGGCTAGATTCTTGTATTACTTAGGACGTATCAAAGCAGCTAGATTAGAATACTCTGCTGCGCACAAGTATTTGGTACAGGTGTGTTTTGTTTTCCATTACTGCTTGTCATTAATTGTTATTAATATTCAATATGATGATAATCTAATTTGTGTATTGTCTTTATTATAGGCTCTTAGAAAGGCTCCGCAAAGCACTGCGGTAGGTTTCCGTCAGACAGTTCAAAAATTGGCTGTAACAGTGGAACTTTTACTTGGTGATATTCCTGAACGTCAAACTTTCCGCCAAGCAGCAATGCGTCGTGCTTTAGCTCCATACTTTCAATTAACGCAAGCTGTACGTTTAGGAAATCTGCAACGTTTTGGAGAAGTTTTAGAAAACTTTGGTCCACAATTCAGAGCGGATCACACATTCACTCTGATTCTCAGACTGAGACATAATGTTATTAAAACTGCGATTAGATCGATTGGACTTTCCTATTCCAGAATTTCTCCTACAGATATTACAAAGAAATTAGGTTTAGATTCAAGCGTCGACGCAGAATTTATCGTAGCTAAAGCTATTAGAGATGGTGTGATTGAAGCTACTTTGGAACCAGAAAATGGATATATGCGTAGTAAAGAGACTACTGATTTGTATTGTACTAAAGAGCCATTACTCGCGTTCCATCAGAGAATCACGTTCTGCTTAGATTTACATAATCAGAGTGTTAAGGCAATGAGATATCCTCCAAAGTCATATGGAAAGGATCTCGAATCAGCAGAGGAACGTAGAGAAAGGGAACAACAGGACTTGGAACTTGCTAAGGAAATGGCAGAGGAGGACGATGATGGATTTCCTTAAAATGTTCATTTTTTGGATACATTTCATTAATAAAGCAATTTGTCAGGAACTTAAAGTTACACTTTCTTATACTTTGTACTATGTTTAATAGCAAAAGCTTTGCTATAACATCGTAAAAATTCAGAAAATTTTAATACAAAGGAATTTTTTCATAGGATATTTTTTTATAAAGGAATAAGAAAACGTAAATTGCACTAATCTCTTTCAAATATATTCTTTAAACATTGCTTGTAGAATATATGGCTACAGTGGCTGGCTCAGTGACATAATATTTATCACTGTATATATTTAAAACACATAACTTATCTATTAAAATTAAATATGTTTAATTTTGAAGGTTTTAATGATTTCACAGCAGAATATTTAATTACAAATGTTTTATACTTATTTTCATAATGAGCATTACATGTCTTTTCGTTTTTAAATTGAACACTTGGATAAACAGATGTGTGTCAGACTTTCACGAGTTTGAAAAGTAGAAATTATTCAAAAGAAAACACGTATACCCACAAAGTCGCAGTAACAAAGTTTAATTATTAAAATTAACGTTTTATTCTTTTGGTAACTATTAACTCAAAATACAAATTTTTAAGTTTTTTTACATAAAAAAATTTTTTAATTTTCAATATTAACAAACCATTAACGATCAGTCATTTTTAAATATCTGAATTAATATCGTAATCTGATATAAATTTTGAAATGGTGTTTGTTAAAAAATATCACACATTATAATTCTTTGAAACGTATAAATATATAAAATGAAAAAAAAAGGAAATAGAAAACCATTTTCCATTACATAGATATTTACATTACCATGCATTCATAAATAGAACTCACCTACAACTAAAGACCTATAATAAATGATTCAGTTACATTTACTATAATACAATTAAATATACAATATTTTCACTGTACAAGATTCCCTTCCTTCATATTGATTTCCTCTATACAAATTTTATAAAAAATTTATAGCTTTACAATTACTTTACGAAGCTACTAAAATTTTTTATAGAAGAATATAGCAATTCATTATTACTGGTATATAAAACTTGATTGAATATTGATGAAGATCTTTGGTTATAGGTTTCATGGAATACTGCTCTTGTGGAGATTCTTGTGCATATGTTTTAGTTGTCAGTCTGGAAGAAAATATTTTGTTATCATTTATAAAACTTAGTTTAATTATTAAGTGTTTGTAGAGAATTCTGATATTAATAAATATGTTACTATGATTGAATATTCTTACCTTGTCTCGCTTTAAGTATGTGATAAATAACTAGGGACAGTAAAAATAGTCTTCTGTCAATTATTGTTTGAACAGCATCCCCTCTAAGAGTCATAGTTGGTCTTAGTAACTCGTTACTTTTATTATTCTCAGTATTCACATTATGATAACCATGATGTATTTTGCCAAAACAGAGTAAATTCATATTTCTATGAATTTCTCTACAGTCGTAATCCTCGAAACCATCGCATTGACATGTATTCAATTTTGCAGCTTTTTCTTGCCTTGTAAGAATATCTATTGAATTTTTACACCTAAAGTTTATTCAATAATTTGTAAATCAAATATTTCTACATCATTTATTTTATATAATATTTAATGTTCTTTTTCCTCGCATAAGTAAAATGCATTTTCCTAATTAATTCTGAGATAGAGTGGTTCAAAACATGTTTACCGTTTTGTACACTTTCGTCCTTGAAACATGTTCTTACAATATCTGTTATAGTACGAAAGTGCAGTCTGACAAAGGGCATCCGCGTTACAAATCCAAGTTGCAACTCTGCAAGACACCCTAGTCCTGTTTAAGGCCATTTGCACAGAAGACCTGCAGATTTCAACTCTCTGCTTCGATTGTAAACATAATTTGTCCTCGCACTCGCACTACGGAAAAATAATTTGTATTTTTATCGACGACATTTAAATCGTACGTTCAATCGTATCTTTATAAAATTTAATTATATAACTTCTTGTTATTTAACCCCTTGGCCTATGATTTCTTTCTCAACTCTGATCGATACCACAACTTTGTCATTAATAATTTATTGAAAAAAGAGAAAAATTCTAAGCATACGTTATACCTACATTTCCTTTTAAGTATAATAATTGATTACAGGGGAATAATATTTACTTCGAATCCGAATGAACCGAGTAATAATATATATATATTCGTTGAATCATGTTGTAAATCTTCACCACAAGCCTCACTCGTTGTAGAACAAGGGGTTAACGTTTAACCCTTTGCGGACGACGACCGTCGACATTTCGGCGAAATGAAATTTTCGTATTTCGAAGACTAAGTTGTAGACAAATGATTTAGTTACTCGAACAGCAAGAGATCATCGCGAAGTTTCCCTTTTTTCATATTATTAGAAAGTAGATGTAAATAAGAAAATATTTACCGTCATAAGATCCTGACCTTCATCGGTGCTTGTAAGAGCAATGAGGGCATGTTGGCATGCCTCGGAACAATCGTCGCCCTGGAGAACGGGCGCGCAACCTGTAAGATAGTGTTGCAGAGCAGAGCCACAGCCTGTTCTGAAAGCGCACTTCATTTTCGCCTGTTCGCACTTCATTATGGAGCTCTTAGCCGTATTCCACATTATCATACTAAGTAATACCATACCCGTTAGGACTATGGCCGATCGATCGCACCAGCGTGACATTATTCTGAAACATTATCAACGATATTTTTGATAATCAATTAATTAATAAACAATTGGTGATAAATAAATGGATAATCTAAATTTTTCAAATTCTTATTAATAATCAGAGATGTAAGAATAGTTGACTTTTAAATATTCTTTATTTTAGCCTGTTATATGTATGTAGGTACGCACTGATAACAACATCCATTCATTTAACAGGTTCGCGGACGTGAATGGTACAGCATTGATTTGCAACATGATAGAAAATGACATGAATGCTATAACATTCAAATTTATAAGCCTCTTCTATTTGTAATCAAAATTTAGATGTGACAATTAATTTAAAAAATAAATCGCCTGTCTGTTTTTGCAGCTCATTAAAATCTGTACTGTCCGCGAACGTGTTAACCCTTTGAACTCTGTATGCTCCAATATTGCACCAGTTATATTAAATATTAAATATTAATTATTACATTTTTATTAAAAGATCGAAGGTATGTTAGCATTTTTCATTTTCACTAGAGATACCATAAAAATTAGTTGCAGTTGCTGATAGATTACAAAACCATCTAGAGTGCTAAGGGTTGACACAGGAAACATTTTCGCAATACATATGAAATTTTCGAATGAACACAGGCTCTTTACTCCGCTTAAATACTTATTTGCCTTTGCATTTGCATTTGCCTTTGGAAAGTCCGTATCTGATGTAAATGTAACTTGAGCATTCTGTCGCGCTGTGAAGTGCTCGTGGATCCATACAACAGATGCGTAGTACGAGGAACGTACCATGATATTCTTAAAATAAATCGGATCTCTGTTTGTCATTCTCGTTGATAGAGGAATTTTACGTACAACCCTAAGGGTTGAAACACCACGTGAAAAGGAAGTTATTTTCTGTACAACCGACAACTCAAACATGTTATTCGACTTCACAATAAATCATCATTAAAACATTAAAGACACGAAAGATGAAGCATTCGATTCGTTACTGACCCAAACGCTTCCTGCTCTCCTTTCTTCTTAAAATCTAAGAAGTGCTGTTATTCTTAACGAAGCGCTGTAATTTGCGAGCAGTAATCAATAATTTTCATCGCCTTCTCAAACGAACATTACAAGAACGCTGTGAAAGTTAAAACTTTATTTTTCAAATCTAAAAACAGTACAATTCTTATAGCTTTCTCAATTTTTACATCATACAAAAATCATAACGGTCCTAGCAGCCTTTAACACTAGAACTATCATACGGGTCAAAATGACCCATTCCTAAATTCTTCTTTTACAATTATTGAACAAATAATAGATCTCTTCTTCTCTAAGAAATTTCAAAAGAAATTGCTTCAGTAATACGCAAACTAAGTTTCGAATGATCGAAATCTCAACAGATGCACTTTTGGGGTTTGTATAGAAAAATTTAGAAAAGTCAACTTATTTAACATGTTAACACTAGATTTACGGAACGAGTCAACTTGACTCATATTGAATTTTATAAACATTATTTGCTAAATGTTTCGGTCGATTTTGATTGATTCAATTACGTGATTATGGTTATTAATAATACATTTTTAAACATTTCATTTCCTACATCTAAACAGACGAACATCAATCTTTCTAAGAACAATAGAATAAACTGTACAATAAATGTAAATCTAGTGTTAACACATTGTTGACCGGCAATTTTACACAGAAGTTGTTCCATGTCACCGGTTATTATTCTGTAATGAAATATGAAGGTGAACCAGTTTAAATAACCTTCAATATACTTTATTTATACATAATGAATTAAAATGAAACTTTGGTTATACATTTTCTATAACTTTTAACCCTCTGTAGGCTCATGTAACTTTGAAGTCATATATCAGTATATTGGCATCTTGTTGATTTACTTCATTTTGCACTCAAAGTGGTGCATAAAATTAAGTGATCAGTTAAACTTTCATACGCTCAGGCGAGAGAGTTTAATGTCATTGCAACTTGAAAGTTACAGAATATATTCGTTTGATGAAATTTTAAAAATTATTGAATGCATTGTTAATTCGTATTCACATGCGGATATTTATTAATTTCGTACTGCATGATTGTTATAATCATGAACAAAAATTCGGCCCATATAGGGTTAATATATTGCTTTTGCAATATACAATATTGTTCTGCGTTTCAAAAATTTCAATACCTAATGCAAATACAAACAGGAGTTAACTCGTGACCGGTCAGCAATGCGTTAAACAATTCTAATCCCATTTCGACCATTCCGTCGTCAGTACCACGTGGTAGGTTCCGTTGGAAGCCCTCCGTGAATTCAACGTTTGCGGGTATCCTGTGGTGATCCAGAATCGTGTTGGCGTTATCATTAGAATTTCTACTAGAACAACATGGTTCACCATTCTCCCGGTCTACTCTCTACTGCTCCTCTAACGATACCAGTAAAAAAGTAAGAAGCCACGGGTGGATGCGAGAAGCGGGGTAGGGGAAGGGAGCACGTGCGCTAGCGCGCACACGGTATAGTGAGAGAAAAGGAGGGGGGAGGGAGCAGATTCTACCTGAGAGCGCTTCATTGCCAGCGCTAGTGCCGATGCTGTTGCGCACCAGCCCCAAAATGGACCACCAAGTCGTCGCAGACGTGGCAACGAGGGACAGATGGCCAGCCCTATAGACCTTCAGTGATCGTCAACTTCGCTTTGCTCACCAGTTTAAATCTTATGTCAGCCGGGGGAAACATTGAATCGGTCAGCGACTGGATCGATTTAACTCTCATTTCAAAATGTTCGATCCGCGACTGCTCTTAACCCAAGTAAACTCATCGTACAGCGGTAAGTTGCTACTTAGAGTGAGAACGGTCCGTCGCGGTAGAATCAACGTCTGAACGAACGGAGATCAAAAATACTCGTACCCGTGGGGTGGAGTGTGACGAGTAATGTTTTTATTTATTGAACTCGAGGAGCTGGCAAACACTTTCACGTTCGTGTTTATGCTTGAATGTAAGGCTTAAGGCGATTGTATGTAATCTTTGTTTACAGAGGCAACGTGCACTGTCGCGTATGGTAAATCAGCTTTTATTAGGAAACAGAATTGTATGTGTTTGTTTGTTTGTTTTTATTTGATTAATGAAAGTTTTAGAAACGATGTTTTTGGAAATGGTACGAGGATCTTTAAGAACATTATTTATGAATTATTTGGTAAATTATGGAAAGTTTTATAGGAAATATGAAATGGTACTTTAATACATAGAAATAATAATGATAGTCAATTAAAGGGAATTTTGATCGTATTAATTTAACGATCGAGTGTCATACGTTTTTGTTCAGATGAATGTTGAATAGTGTATTTATGTGTTAGTAGAGAATTGTTTATTTTTAACAATTTTTATTTATTTGTTAGATATGCGCTTTCCATATAGAATGGCTCAGTTGTTACAGGCTATATAAGATGATGGAAAACGTGCGTTGCATAATATTTACATCGGCTCTCGTATCAATGCAGACATTAAGACTCTACGTGATTCACATGCTTGACATGACCAAGAAACAAGTGATACAAATCACCGAGTTAATACTCAATTAACGCTGAACCGCCGATGTAATTCAATTTATCTCGGTGACGCTTTTCAGTCGGACTACTAGTAAATTGTTTTGAACAACTGCACGCAACACGACTGATATTCAATTTTTTTTTATAATTAAATACTTTTGAAAAAATTAGATTTCACTATTCCACTATTATTATATAAAATTGAAACGAATACTACTTACGTTATTTTTGTTGTCGAAGTAACACAATTTTTCACTTATGTTTTGGACATTGTTAAATAATTGTGTCTTTTGTTATATAAATATACATGTACACGTGTAGATAATAAAATATATTGTACCTGAATGTGCTTGTGTTATCATCGTGTGTTTATATATCGAGCAAACAAAAAATATAGGAATAATTATTAACATACCGCACTTCCTAGGAAAAGTGAAAAACCGATATTGCTCCGTAGATCGATAGTAGAAATATTTTAGTACAAACCTTGCGAACAATCACATTGTTCTAATAGCCGAGAAGATTGAAGTTTAAGATTCCAGTAGCAAGCTAATCCACGAATGAAAACTGCGATTCCGTGTCAAGAATTATAACATGCCATACGCGAGAAGAGAAGAAAAGAGAAACTTACTCGCAAGCGCACGGTTACCGAGACACTAGATTGAGTTGTGACGGCCTGCCCCGCTGCGTCGAGAAGCTGCGCGCGCCGCGTTTGTTCCCCCACCATTAGCCACAGGCCCGGGACCGAGAGGACTGATAGAGTTGAGTCCTGATCAAAACTAAACTTTCTTTAAAGAACTAGTTTACATTAATCGTAATACTACATTATTCGCCAACCACGATTATTATCGTTAATTACAATAATATAATCCAAACAAATATAAATGAAATAAAATCCTGATTCAATTTTACAACTGTTTCAGTACACAATTTCAAATCGCACTTAAATTACATTGTCGTTAAAATAAAAATTCAAATCTGTGTACAAAAATCTACTCACACGCGTGCAGAAGAAATTGTTACATTTTGTAATTTCCCAATTTACGTATATATTCAAACTCGCATATTATTCGAATCGTGAAAATCATCCTTTTGAATTACCATGGAAAAAGTAAAAAATCACGAATTGCTATCCGTGGATCCACGAATAATTTATGAGTTGTAAAAAAAACGACGCTGCTCACTTGATTTCATACAGTGATACTATAAAATTTGATATTTAATATTATATTTCGTATGATGCATCAGTTTGAGAAATATTGAAAGAAAATAGCTTCGTTTCTCAATGTATGTATGATCTCGTCGAGTTAGTTCCACAAAGTATCGTCTTTATCTCGTCAGAAGATATTCAAATATTTCTAGTGGAAAACATCCGAGTGCAAAGGGTTTAATCGTGCAACGCACTTGTTTTAGCCGCGAACTCGTTTCAGTTCCATTGCTAGCTCTATCCTCCACCCACAGGGGTCCAAGGTGCCCCAACCTGCTTGGCTGATTGAGACACCAGCCTGGTTCCAACACTATCCCCTTCTCCCCCGGCTTCATCCGTACCCTTCTCAGAGCGACGTCGAACAGTCCGGCATTTAGATGCGATCCGTTCTTTCTTACGTTTCTCCTTCTTCCCGTGTCGGCCTTCCATCGGGCTCCCTTTCAGGCCCCTTACTACGTCTATTCTCTACCACCAACACATTCAGTTGGTCCCTGCGACTCTCAACTTTAATTTCGCTCCTTCGAGCTAGAAGAGGTGGACAGCACGCCGGAAATGAACTGTTTGAGTACAAATTGAACCGGTTAATCGATCCACTGAGCAGAGCAAGGGAGTGAACGACATGAAATTGCGAAACTCATTTCTCCCTGATCTATTCTTCGAACCGTTCGGTTATCGTTCGGATCTTTAACTTCTCGCTGCTATGGGACACCAGTAAATATCGTAAATTTCAGTTAAAACGATATATTCCTCGATTTTCGTTCGAATACCATTTTATTAGCCCTTCTAGTCAAACAAACGGGCGAAAGGCAGCGGGGGACTGTTTGTTTCTGGATTAACGAGTCGACGAGAGCGCGTGTCTCGGTTTACTTAGGATATCCTGGATAAAATGCTTTCATCTTCGTTTGCTCGGAACTGATGTCCTATTGAGGACTGTGATAGATTCGCTGAAACGAGGCAGCATCCCATTCGACGGTTCTCAGTCTGTTTACTAATTTTGCCCGGTTATTCATTTTTAGCGGTTCGAAAGATTTCTCGAACGCCGGTTGCGTGCATGGTTTAATTTTCATATGAAATACGAGAACCGAAATTGTTGAAACGCTCGTGCGAAGATAAGTATGAAAATTAGTTTCCTGTTTCGCAGGAAACGCGATGGAAGATCTAGATGAAGAAATCGCGATGGAGCACGGACCATCTACTACGGAATAAAGGAAATAGATCGTTAGATACGAAAACGAGATATATCAACGATAACACACGTTCGAACGTGTACATGATTGGCATGATAAAAGAGAAATATAACTGGAAACGGCTATCCTTAATTAACTATTCGAATATTTTTAATTATTGAATTAAAAGAAAGACTATTTGTCTATAGCGGTCGTCGACGTCCTTTGTGCGATGTTAATACTAGAACTACCAAGCAGTCAAACTGTTTTTCTGAAATTTCTCCGTAGAAACTAAATGGTGCAACTATTGAGACTTCAATTGATTTGCACTGTAGCTACTGTATTACCAAATCAATTTCTCTAGTAATTTTTTCAGGGAAGCATCCGTTATGTTTTCAGTAATTGGAAAAAAAGAAATCATAAATTCTAGTATTTCTAGTAATTCTAGTAATTCTAATATTTCTATATTCTAGTAATGTGTAGTAATTATTTAATATTTAGTGATTTTACTGTTAACTTAATTGTAAAGTTGTGAAGTGGTCGGACGAAAAATGTTGTTTGAATATTGTTTTAAAGGCGTGAGTTAAATTTAATTGAATTCCTAACGAATTCGTGACGCATTTCGAATAAAAAGGAGTTAATGCTAGATTAAACATGTTACTAAAACTTTACGAACATCTCTCGAACCAGTATCTCAACTTTGTGAGATGCACAGGAAGGGTCAGTATGGCGGTTTTTGTTCTCTGTCTGTTCCCCTCTTTTTCTCTCTTCCTCCCGCTGTCAGTTTCTCTCGATGGTCTTTTTGATCTTCTCGAAGCAATTGTCCCAAGCGAGAACCCGGTTGAGGCAATAACGTCCGCAGGCCCAGCCTATCCTGTACCTTCTGACGTCTTAATAAAGCAATCGTCCGATTTCTCGAAACCCTCCTTCTTTCGCTCCAAGCAACACGCCGAGCCTTTCGAGAGAGGACTTCTCACTTCATTGTCGATCTTCTTTCTATACATGATTTATATAATGTTCTCCTATAGTTTTCTCACGCGTTTTACGAGCACAATATTTTCACAATAAATAATTATCGATTCGTGTAACCGTGATAACACTGAAAAATCAATTTTTAATTATTTATATATACCATACTTTTCCTCGGATTCTAAGAAATATGTTGATATCTGTAAGCTCTTTTTTGAGATGTTATTTTTTCAAATGCATTTACGATTTGTTACAAATGAATATTTACAAATAAATAGGGCAATTCGAATTATTCGAATACGAGTATTTATGATTTGCTAGTTGAAGAAATTATTGTAATATTTGTACACTGAAAAACATCGCAGTAAACTTTGCTTCGGAATGTTTAGAAGACGAAATTCTTTCTCAATTGTTCGGATTCTTGAAAGGCAGGCTACGGAGGGTTCCCAGTCACGCTTCGACGACTTTTTGGAAAAGCAATTAACCTCGGCTTGATGTCGGCTTAACGCCTGCCACTACATCTTAATCTTCCTCCTGGAACCTACCGTTTAAGGGCAAGAACATCTGAAGGGAGAGCTAAAAGATATAAAATTATAGCTTACAAAGAAAAGAAACGCTACTCTTTGCCTACCTTCATTTTCATTATTTTATTTTGTGTGAAACACAAACTTAAATAATCGAACATCAACGGAAATTCGTATACTTAGATTTTATACGAAAATATATTTGTATGACTTAGGTTTATACAATATTATATTTTTCATGGATAAAAGTTCGAAGTTAGATTGTGAATGTTCTAAATATAATTTTCGTTACCGTGCAAAATCACAATGACAATGATCTCAACGCGAAATGAATATTAGATTTTTTGCATCGCAGATAATTAACAAAATATTGTTTGTAAAAGATTACTTTATTTTAACCTTAGTTCATTCGTATTATAATTATTCAATCGTAAGCTTAAGAAAATAATAATAATATATTCCCTCCAAAACTTTTTAATTGCATTTACTTACAACCGAAAAACAAAATACTAAATTACAAAAAAAAACGTATTGTTTATGTAACATGTAAGTGCAGGTTTAAGAATTACGGAATTTTATAATTAACAGGGTAGAAATGAAAATAAGAAATTAATCAACTTATAGTTATTTTTATTGTAATCATTACAAACGTTAAATGCGAATTGCTGTTTTCGTTTCTTATGTACTAATGTGTTGGAAAGGAAGCGAATGCTCCAATAAATAATAAACAAAAGGAAGTAAAGAAAAATGTCGAACGACCGTTAACGAGAAATAATCATGCATGAACTAATCCAATAGAAATGGAAATTATGTTTGGCTTTCCGTTTCTTTTCTAATGGATATTATCGATGGCATCAGAACGATAGGAGTGTATTCCAATGAAATGAATGTGGTCGAAAAAGGAAAAAAAGAAAAATATCATTTCCTACACCTAAGTTATGTAAGTATATTAAGGTTGATAAAGTACAGTGGAACGACATCTGTAGAGAAACTGAGTTAATTTAAATTTCATGCAACGAATAAAAGTGTTCGATATATCAGAAATAAATTTGTTTATTTTGGGGTATGTAGTTACTCGACACTTTTATTGGAAAATAGAAGGGAATATCAGTTTCTCCTTGAACGTTTTAAACATACGACAATAAAAAAAGTAATAGAAGGTGGCTTTTCATT